GGGGGGTTTAGTGCTTTACCGCGCTCGCAACTGCATAAGGTCATATGAGCGCGCGGGACACATTAAACATTACTTTTCAGTTGGTATGAAATTTGGAATTTTGCCCGCGGGTGGCGGCCGAAGCCTACTCTTATCGATATTAGACCACCAAGGGAATTTAACGTGCGCAACTTGCATACGGGATCTTCGAGATTTTTCGACCTTGACCGAGAAGGCTAGGTGTAGATTTTTCCTTCCAGAAGATAAGGGGTGTGGCGTGTGGCTGAAAGATAGCCGTAAGAAGGAGCCAAGGAGTAGCTGTAGAAAGATTGCAGAAAGAGCCAGGCCCAGAGGAGGGGACAAAGGCGGTTAGGGGGTGAGGGCAGAAAATGTAAATCTAGACGAAAGCAGACGACAGAACATTGCTAGAGAGCAGGAAAGGAGGTGAAAGGAGACAATTTTAGAGAAGAAAATCTGTCGGTCGCTACCCGGATTCGTACCCGGGACCTTTGAATAAGAGGCGAACACCTTAACCAGGGCAGTAACAAACGCAATAAAGGAGGAGAGATAAGGACAATATAAGTTTGATAAGATAGGAAAACAGGAGCAAACCACACCAGAGCGCCCACCAATCACAAACGCCTTTTTTTTCAGACCACTGACAGGCAACAGACAAAAGTATCAAACAGGAAAGTAGAACCTATATACATGTAGGAACAACGGGTGCCGCTCACAGACCACGAACTTTTTGCGTCGGAAAATTTGTTTTAGTTTTGGCAAGTGTCTGACGGCACTTGCAATATAATAAGGTCATATAAGTGCCGAAGACTAGAGGTGTTAGAAAAGAGTATGTAACTAACACAAAAAGGAGGACAAATAAGGACAATAGATGTTTGATAGGAAAGAGAAGCAAACCACCCACGGAAAATTTGCGGCAGAATCTGTTTGTCCGTTTCTGTTTGTAAGGCTGGCGGTCCACAGATCAGGCACAATCATTTTACGTTGCAAAAAATTAGTTTCTTGGTCGTTTCTGCTCATGATTGTAAATCCAACAGAGCCGACACAAAACTGGACAATCCAAAGAACACACGCGCGCGCACTCCCTTTCCCTACAATATAGATGTCCCTCTCTCCCCTCTTTTCTGTGTGTCTGTCCGTCTGTCGCCCTCTGTCTCTTTCACCCTCTTATATCCTTCACACACACACACACACGCGTGCACAAACACACACACGCGCGCGCGCCCACACACAGTCCCCTTATTTTCCCTCTCTCTTATTCTCTCTACCCTGTGTCTGCCTCTTTCTCCTTCTTCTCTTCCTACACATACACATAGACACAGACAGCTAGACACACGCGCGTGCTCTTTTTCTGTCTTGTTAGGATTACATTTTATGTGCATATATGTTATGTACAATTATATGTATTGGGAACGTGACTTGTCACAAAAAATAACCTCCCCTAACCGAGAGACAACGAGAATTCAAAAACAAAATATATCGCATGCGATACGGATTTTTTCTTCGTCTGTTTCTGTGGGTATCCGTTGAGTGGTGTGTGGGCACAGGAATCGACATAAATAGAACGTAATAGGTATAGGACATTCCCACTGTACTATCTTTTTCCACGGAAAGTGGCGTGAAAAATTCGTTCCATTCTGTTGGTTTCTGTGGTCTGAGGGTGCGCACTCTGCTTCTCCCATCTCCCACCCACCCTCATGTCTGATCTCGGGGCAATTTAACTGACATAAAATAATAAAGATAACTAGCTGAATTAATTTCTGTCTAAGTTTAAAGAATGTCACGGGACTTAAGTTGGTGGCCTAGTGGTTAGGCTGCCGTACTCGTAATCAGTAATCGTGAGGTTGCGGGGTCGGGGGTTTGAGCCGCGGACCCGAGGTTGTGTCCTTGGGAAAGGCACTTTACACGAATTTTCCTCACTTCACCACTTCACCAGGGTGGAAATGGGTACAAGGCCATAGACAGCGAAAGACCTTGTCAGTATGTTTGTGTTTTAGAACCTATAAACGGTTGCTTGCACTGTATGATTCCCAGGAAGTTGAGTTTGTTTCAGAATGCTCTCAGGTCTGCTGGGGTAATAGTATAGATTGTGAAGCGCATAGAGCTTGCTGTTGAACGGGGAATTGCGCTATACAAATGCTATCTATTATTATAATTATTTCCAGAATAAAGCCCTTTATTAGTAACTATATTAATGTCACAATTTCACTTAAGTAAAGGGATTTTATCTCTAAATCATTCAAAGACATGTTACTAGGAACAAAACAAGATACATGGTATTCAATTTGCTAATCACAATCTTTATTCACATGAAGCATTAACGTTTATAACAAATTTGTGTATTTATCAAAAGTCCTCAACTTTGATGGAAAAAATACAGTCATACATGTGTGCACGTAAAGTAATAATTCCTAGATGTGTCGTTCAGTCGGAAGCGTAGGTAGAAAGTGTTTAATGTCATGGCAAATTGTCTAAATGAAAAGACTCTGTTATTACGTTTTTGATCAGCTTAAGTCTGTCATCCAGATCCAAGCAGTGGGCCCTAGTACCTGATCATGTGTTAAGCTCAAGGTCGATGCTAACGTTTGTGGTTTGACCAAACAACAAAGATTCAAGATGACGAATGTGAGAAGTAGCCTCATTCAAGCAAAATAAATACATGATTGCATACTAACACTTGTGCTGTAGATTATTTTTTTTAAAAGAAGAGAGATATATATACATCATGTAGAGAGAGAGAGAGAGAGACTGGCAGTCAAAGAGCGACCTTATAGGCCTACATAAATTTAAGACAATCAAATAAAAAAATTGAAGAAAGGAAAAATTGATGGTGGAACAGCAAAACAGCATAGTTTTCACTGTAAGAGACATGTTTGAAACCAGTTGCAAAAAGTAATGCACATTTAGTCAGATAAACACAGGGAGGCTTGATTTTGAAATGGTAGTGGTCGTTTTTCGGGGCGTGGGGTGTGGAGGGGGGTTGATTTTACAGTTGGAGAGAGGGGGGAATATTTTCAACCTAAATTACTCAGTGAATCAGGTCAGACTGCATAAAAACTTCCACAAACCAGAAACAGTAAATAATACATAATTTGGTGCAGACACCCCCCCCCCCCCCCAAGTTCTACTTCAAAATCAAGCTTTTCTCCTCCCATACACTACCCATCCCCCTTTTGAAACTACCGCTACCACCTTTTTTACTGGTGCATACACATGGCTTTTGACATATTTATATACATACTGACACCTCAAAAACAAGTTATAAATTATTTTTCCTCAAGCAATGCAGAGTGCTGATCATTTACAATGCCAAGAACTGAATATTTTAATTCTCATGCACAGCCACAATTTTCCCAGCAGCAAAACCAAACAAACACTAATAAAAGCTTATTCATTATGATAAAGAAGTTAAAAATCAAGGTTCACAAACACAGAGATTCCAAATGTTTTTCCAAATCATGTTAGCTACCGTGGGCACTTCGGAATGAACAAAGTGACAACGCACAAAAAAAAATAAATTCAAATGAAAATATGAGCCTGCTTGCATCTTCACAAAAAAAAAAAAAAAAGTAGACCTCACATTGAATATACATGAATGAAAGCCTTACTGAACATACGTTATGTTCACACACAAAAAGTTTATGACATCCGCATGGTAATGTATGCATAAGCACACACACACCTGTTAAAGGAGAACTCCTTTGAACAAAGCATTTTTCCTCTTGACAGTTCTCCAGCAGGAAGCACTGGAAACCTTTCCTGTTAGAATTTGCAGAGGCTACATTGCCAGCATACATTATGTTTACCTGCAAACAATGTAAAGGAAGTCGATGAACATGACTTCACGCGATGGTTGAAAATATCATTATTTACTCATCGGACGAATATACTACAAGCCAAATTGGTGACGCACTGACAAAATACATGCACAAGATGTAAACGGATCAAATGCAAATGTTTGCACTAAGAGGGACATAGTAATAATAACTGTATAACAGTCATTGTGTACAAAAAAATTTCACGCGAAAATATGTAGAAATAAAGACGATGTGCTACAAAATATTTAAAAACAAATAATACTTCTTAATTGTCCAGTTTCATATCATATGAAATTAACAAGAAGGTCTGCTTATGAAAAAAACGACAACTATACTAGATCTAGACTTTCTTCCTGTATGCTTTTTCTGAATATTTAAAAATAAAAAGTTAAAAAAATTCAGATGCATGTGATAGAAACTTTATGAAACAATATTCATGCTATGTCTTCTGCAACTACCTTCAGAAAAACAGTCTATTTTAATAATACATGTATTAGGGAATTATTATTTGAAGAAAAAAAAGGGAACCGAGGCTTTCCTTTACTCAGGGTCGAAGTATGAGAGATTCCATAATTAAGTGGGTTTATTAAAAAAAGGCTGTAATGGTGTAGGAGCAGCCATTTCTCTCCACATCGAAATATAAAAATGACTGTTGAGGGAAGCTCATGAGGTGTTATACAATTTAATTCCCAAATACACCTCATAAGTTTGTGGCGAATGGATGCAGTCACTGATTCCTTTCCCTGGCAAATCATACATTACTCTCCTTGTCAACCAAACAGAATGAAAGAGAGAAAAGCCATACAGTTCTGTTGATTGCACATTTCAAGATTTTAATGTAATGTCCTTTAAAGACAATTTTTAACATTGTACAGAAGTGTTCAGGCCCAAACTCTGATCTATTTGGATATTTATTATAGAGGCATACTGAAAAAAAAAAAAGCCTTCCCTTTTCCCACCCCCACTTTGACAAGCCTGGAGCTTTAATAAAAACAAAATGGTAGTAAAATTAACATGGCAAATAAGTACAAAGCACAGAAGTAAGTAAACTTCTGTTCCAGCATTAAAAATCAACAAATCAAAACATGTCTTTAACATGACCCCAACCTCCCCCCCCCCTTCCAATTCAATACAATGTGACAACTCTTTCTCACACTTAAGGCTCCCTCCAAACAAGAAGTCTTTATTAACACTCACAGGTAAAAAACAAATGCCCAGCAATAACTGTAACTGTTCATCATGTTTAAAAGTTTCACTTCCATAGAAAAAGTTTCCTTTCACTCCTTGACTCTCTTCATAATACAGCACTGCTGTTTTCACCATTCACAAAAAGCTAAAAAAAAACAACAATTTAACACGGATATAGATCAAACACAGAAGACTCAAAATCCCACCTTCGTCGAACTGTGCCTGAATTCCATTTTTTTCTGCTTCTCTATCTTTGTAAGATATCGCTCAAACTAACTATGAATCCTTCAAACTACCGAGCCCGGTCCCGACGAATTCGAGCTATCCATGTTATACTGTACACTGTGAAATGCGTCTACATGCAACCAAGAACTTCGATAAACTCTTTCTGTATCCCTCCGACAGGCAGTTGGTCCAGATAGTATGAAAAAACCTCAGAAGCAGAGTGGCACTTGAAACCTCTGACATCTTCATAAATTACAGACAACAAGGGGGAAATATTCATAAAACTCATTTCCAGATTTTCTCATCAAAAGAAGTCAAGTACTCGTCAACAAGAAAATATACAGTGAGCCAAGGGCATACACATGAAGATCAAACTTGACTCTTGACTTTTCTGGACTCCCAATATGGACTGAGAGTGTTGGTGTACTTGGTCAACTGACTATGGCACAGTTTATACATATGGAATCTTTTTGAACTTTGGTGCTGAAGTGAAAAATATATTACTTTTTAGCCATGTTATTTAGATCACATTTTCGGAGAAAATTTTTTTTACCAATGAAAAAAATCCCCGTGATATATGTGAAACACATAAAAATATGAAATAATGCATCTCACAACATTATTTAAAAATTCCTGAGGTATGTTGGTATCACTTTCAGACAGAAAAATACTAATTTTAAACAAGTATCAAAACAATTAGTCAGTCTCATAGGCAAGGGTGGAATTCAACCATTTCTCCATAGTCTTCAGATCCATATTCTTCCTCTTTGAATAGTCAGTCACCTGTGGGAACAGAAAAAAAGAATAATACATATGAAATTCATTTAATAAATATTATAAATATTTTAAGATCGATCGATTCATTGTACATGCAAGTAATAGTAATTACTCTTTTCAACCACAGAAGTAAGGTGAAAACTACAACTACAACATTTGCTGCAGGTATGACATTTTTATCTTTTAAAAATAGCAAGGTATCCTTTATTATTGAAAGGAAAACCAACAAAAGAAAAAAAGAAGAGGGATAATTCCAGTCCACTCCAGCTATGGTGCTGTTACTAGGTATTCCAAACCATATGTGTTCTTAATTTATTTTTTTTAATAAGCCAGGATAGACTACACAATCCAAGGTTGGTCATAAGCTTCTACCAAACACAAAACATCTTTTTTAGTTACCATGAGATGACACTATTTCACTGCTGACAACACAATTAACGTAATCACACCCGAGCTGCTACCAGGACAATGGGGGGAAAAAGAGAACCAGAATCCTGAATAAAACTTGACCAGCATTTGGCCAGCCCTTACCTGATCTTTCCCAAGTTTGTCAGTGGCAAAGTATGTACACTGAGGGTTGGCCAGATAAATGCCTGAGACAGATGACGCTGGGCTCATGGCCAGGGAGTCTGTCAGTGTGATGCCCACCTCCTCAGGGTGCATAAGTTCCCACATTGCGCGCTTTTCTGTGTGGTCCGGCTGGCTAGGGTAACCTGCTGCAGGTCGAATTCCCTACAAAAGAGAGGTTAAAATCTCTCAATCTTGCTTCAAGAAGAACAAAAATTTTTGTTTTTGTTTCAAAACCTTCTTCATATTTACTGAAAAGTAAAATATTTTGTTGTTGTTGTTTAAAAAAAAATACATGTAGGTATAAAGTTCATAAAGTCTAATGAGAGTGCAAGTGAAATGTTTATAATTGTAATATTATAATATATTTAATTCTCAACTTATTTGCTTGGAAACTTTTAAATCCTGCATGCCCTGCCCCTTATGCCAACAGACAAGTTTTCAGGTTTTAGTTCAGTATAGGGCCTTGATGGCTAGGCCTACTGTAGTTCAGTATAAGGCCTTGATGGCTGGGCCTACTGTAGTTCAGTATAGGGCCTTGATGGCTGGGCCTACTGTATGGCAGTATGTGGCTCCACAGACCTGAGTGTAACTCATTACAAAGAGCAAAGTCAAGCTTATCACCACTGAGCAAATCTAGAGGGAAAAAAAATATGAACTGTGATGTGTTTACATCCCTGCTGATATTTTTACATGACAAGAACGCTTATTCCCCCCAAGACAGGCATGCATGAGGCCACACATTTGCTGGCCATCCATCTGACACCTCTCGACCCAGACACATGTTAAGACATACTTCTTGCGTACATGAACAACAAAAGTGTGGGAGTTAAAAATAACCTCTGATCGGTTGGCATGTGATGGCCATGTGTCTCTGAAAAAGGTCAATGGTAATGTACAGTGTGTGAATGTGTGATACCGGTATGCAACTGTAAAGTGTAATGATCCACAGGGCAGAATGATCGACTTGAAATAACCTAGGCTAGAGGGATAAGATTCATTGCAGGGGGAAAATGCCTAAAACTATATCAAAGAGGGCTGATTGCCCTACAAGCAACTTCAGTGAATCTGAGTTTGCTTATTTACATGTTATTATGTACAAGATTCTGTTGATTAAACCCCCCCCCCGAAAAACAAGAAGGAATCCTTCCCTTTTTGTCGTACACAGGTTTTCGCTGAAACTGGGCTTTCTTTGAATCAGACTTTGTAGTATCTGAATTTCACTGAATCTTATTTTGCGTCAGCCCTACAAGTGAGTTACCTGGTATTTGATTTTATGCAAGTCCTCTGCATCAAGTTTCTCTTCATTGGAGTAGCCCCAGTACTCTCGTCTCACCCTCTCGTGCAGGTATTCCGCAAAGGCCTCAGCCAAGCGGTCAGCGATGGCCTTGACCATTATGCTGTTGTAGTCATCAAACTGGTCCTCGTACCTGATGAGGTAAGAATGTCAGAGGAACTGATGTTATGGAAATGTACAGAAAGAAAAAGTAAAATTTATGCCGAAACAGCACCCTGTCAGTTTCGGTTTCTTTGTATTTACACTATTTACCGACTAGCGAACATTCTCAGTTGCTTTAATTCAGTAATTGTGTCTCTTGATCAATTGGTGAAGCCTTTGATGGTTTTTGGGTGAGGTGAGTTACAATGGTTACTTTTTAGATCTGGCATGGTGTTTAAAGATTTTAAGTTAAACTTTGACATCGTCCAGTCTCTAAATGAAAAACTGTTCTTGTCTATGGGTTCTAAATTGAATAAGGCATACCAGATAGTTGCAAAAATGACTTAAAATACTTTAAACTCAATTATTCTGTTAAAAAGGGTACAAACACTCATCTTTTACGCTGCCTCATGCACTTCCTCAACCAGTATCACAAGTCATTGCGAGTTTACTTTTGTCCATATTTCAAATAACCATACAAACAAAAGTTGTACACCTATTGAAAAGCTGTGTCATCTAAAAAGTGAGTACTTTGAATTGTTATCTGACAATGAATATTCTAAAACATCCTTAAAATGCTGGTAGCCGGGGTTAAATTGGGATTTCAACCCCTGGCTGTCAGAGAGCTAATATTATGTGGGTACATAAAAAAAAGGAAATGCCCCCACCCAAGAAAAAAACAACAACAAAAACAACCCAACAAAAAACCCCCCAAAAACCCAACCCAACCCACACAGAAACAAAATTAGCAACAACAAAAAAGAATAAGCCAGCTGTAATGATTTCCCACAATAAAACTTACTCTTTGCAAAATGCCTCTGTGCCCAGACCAGCGGTGCAGGCAAAGATTCCTATGTAGTCTGTGACGCCACTTTCCTTGGAGGCGAGGAAGTCCGACTGACACAAGTAAGCAGAGTTGTCAGCTGCGTCTTTCAGAGCCTAAAAACCAGAAAAAAGAATCAGTTACATTTCACATGCTTTGGATTAAGCAGGATTACATTTCAACTAAATATAAACAAGGTAAGTAATCAGGAGGCTTATCAGAAGGAGCTGAGTGGTGCCGTTTGAAACCTGCCTGAAAACAACAGTCCAAGTAAAGAATCTAGTCTTATCTCCTGATGACCTGGTCTTACGCAGGGAGCAGTGCATTTTTACACACACTTTCTTAAATCTCTCTCCTATCATACATTTAAAATATACTCAACGTGATTTGTCCCACAGCACATATGATACTTGAAAAAACATAATAATACACCCAACAAATCAAGACAGATTACCATGCGCCACAGTGAAAAGCCCTTTTTGAGCTAGGATCAAGATAGACAATAGATAAGACACATCTTTATTGTCCAGATCCTGACACATTGGTTTGGTGTCTCACCACGTACACACATACACCCACACATACACACCCAGATTAACAAGTCTTGCTTAAAAATCACACTGTACTGAGTACTCACAGAAATGATGTAATCATTTGACACTATTCAACAGTCTTTGGAAACCTGTGCTCATTAACCAGTAAGCCCTAATAGATGTTGTACCATATAATATCTCACTATCACACCTGCTGTCTAAGGCCAAACAATGTTGCAATCGTTTCTCCATTCTCATTGTAGACTTCAATGTCGTCTTCCACACTGTTGGCCGGGTAGAAAGCTATTGTGCCAGATGCTCGTAATTTCTTTTCTTTGATGGTCTTCTCAATCATCTTCTGGGCATCATCGAACACTTTTTTTGCCTCCGATCCTGGAATAATGAAGAATGAATGGTTTTGAAGAGCGGCACTTATCATCTTTTTTCGAAACAGGAAAAAAACAGCAACAATCAAACAACCCCCCCCCCCAAAAAAAACAAACAAAAAAAGCAGCAGCACAGGGAAGTTTTGATGATCCTGTGGCGCAGTTGTTAAAAAAAGTCTACACTGTCTAACAGACGTCAACTTCATCTCTCCCTTCGCTCAACACCCCTCTCCCCCCTCCCCTCAATCTTTGAAAGGAAAAAAGTAGAATGCTTTGGAAACTCTTAACACCTTGCCCCTACAGGACGCCGATCGGTGACGGTAAGAAGTCGTCCCTTTTCGCCATGGGTGGATAGTGTTAAAGCAACCCAAGATCAGTGACATTTTCCAGCCTGAGTCTTTAACACTTTTAGACTATCAGAAACAAAGTGACAAATTTAGCAACCCCTGTCATCACCAGAGGTGTGTGTGTGTGTGTTTGTGTGTATGTGTGTGTGTGTGTGCATGCATGCGTGTCTGTGATAAACCATTAAATATTATACCACAGAATATCTGCACTTAATAATCATCACCGTCATTAATACAAGCTACTCAGTGATTTTCCGATGTATGAGAAAAACATTATTTTGTAGGTCCATTCAATGACTATTCCTGTGTATGTAAGTGTGTGTATCAGAGAGAGAAAGAGAGGAAGAGAGAGAGAGAAAGAGAGGAAGAGAGAGAGGGAGAGAGAGAGAGAGAGAGAGAGAGAGAGAGAGAGAGAGAGAGTGTATATTGGCGAGTGTATGCGGGTGTATGCATCTACCATGCAGAAAATTTCTCTTTGTGGAAATCAATAAATTGTTATCTTATCTATCTTTGTGTTGGTTTTGAAAAAATATAAAAGCCTTGGTAACGTAAGAGTTTCTCCGAGTATCATCCGAATATTCTCCACTCACCAACTTCCTTGTCATTGAAGATCTTGGGGTATCCACGGTTTGGATACTTCCCTCTCAGCTGCCAGACATTGAAAAATGGCTTCCAGTCAATGTAGGGTATCAGGATATTCAGATCAAAGTCTTCAAATTTTTTCACACCAATGAATGTTGGTTTCACTGAAAATGATACATAATATAGGACGTAAGACTTGAGAGTTAAAAACAAATCTAGTGAAGTATTGGCACACTTTTAAAATTAAATGGATGTTTTTCACTCCACCCCTCGTGTGGTAAATGTGTATTTTTTACTCCATCCCTCGTGTGGTAAAGGTGTATTTTTTACTCCATCCCTCGTGTGGTAAATGTGTGTTTTTCATTCCATCCCACAAGTGGTAAATGCATGTGTTTCACTTTATCCCACATGTGGTAAAGGCATGTTTTTCCCTCTATCCCTCGTGTGGTAAGGGCATGTTTTTCCCTCTATCCCTCGTGTGGTAAGGGCATGTTTTTCCCTCGATCCCTCGTGTGGTAAGGGCATGTTTTTCCCTCTATCCCTCGTGTGGTAAATGCATGTTTTTCACCACATCACACATTTGGTCTGTCCATCTCCAAACATAACCATGTTTTTGAAGCTTACTTCGGTGTAAGAACACTCTTACTTTTTTTTTGGGTCCAGAGCAAGGTACAAAGTGTTTACCTGGTGCTGGAGTAGAGGTCCAGTCAATGACCAACTTCTTTTCTCTGGCCTTCTCCAAAGGCAGGTATTTCCTGTCCTGAAAAAGGAAAAAACAACTCAATACACAAAACGATTTCTAACTTCATTTTCTTCCAAAATAATACATGTAACCACTGTAAACTAAAGTAAGATGTAGGTACAGATATCTAAGAAATTTGAAAAAAAAGAGAAGCAAAGAAAATACAAAACCTGAACTCATTAAAAGATATAGTTGGTCTCACTGACATTTCAGTAACAAAGAAAAAAAAAAGCCAACCAACCTTGAGGGAGTCATAGTGCTCCTCTCTGATTTCTTCATATTCCTCCGCAGTCTCATCTAGGAACTCATCTTTTGTATTTTCATCCAAGAGGGCTGAAAGCTGAAACACAGAACAACACAACGGGTTTTCACAAGAACACGGAATTTTATAAGAACACAGAACAACACAATGGGTTTTATAAGAACACAGAATAACACAATGGGTTTTATAAGAACACAGAACAACACAATGGGTTTTATAAGAACACAGAACAACACAGTGGGTTTTATAAGAACACAGCATATCAGAATCAATTACTTTTGACATGACTAAACTGTAAAAATTCTATCACAATTAAAAATAATAATCTCTCTCAAATTCAAGCTATATGTGGAGAGAAACTGTCAGTACTGTGTACAGCACCAGAAGATGGGTTAACCTGATGGGTCATGAAAAGGCAAGATTGAGAACAACCAGTTGAAATAACATTATGAAAGTTAGCATAACAGTATATGTATGTTGTTGTTATTATCGATCCAGCAACATCTGGGCTCTTGCCCTTCTGTCCAATGCCATGTAGTGATAGGCGCAGGTTTGCTGCAGTTGCTGTAATGTTCCGTAGAGTGTGTTGTCGAAGTTAGGTCTCGGAGGGAGAAGGGTAGCTCTGATGTCATTTAGGGCTGTACAGTCGAAAGGGTGATGTTCCACTGTCTCATATGCATAGTCACACAAAGCACACATTGGGGGAAGTTCTGGTTTTATTCTGTTCAAGTGAAAGTTGAGCTGTATATGTTCTGTTCGTAGGCGGAAGATCGTGGTCTGTTTCTTTCTCTGTAGGTGGTTGATATTGTCATTTCGTTTTGTTGTAGTCATATGTTTGAAAACTGCTCTGTCTGTCTTTCCCAAGGCCCATCTGCTCATCCAATCTTGTTTGCTGTTGCTTTTAATGATTTGTTTTGCAGTGTTGTATGAAGTTGGAATGTTGGGTTGTTCCTGTCTAGATCCCCTTTTGGCGAGTGTGTCTGCTCTGTCATTTCCAGGTATGTTTGCGTGTCCGGGAATCCACTGCATCACCAGGTTGACGCCACAGAATGTTATCAGATGATGGGAGCCAAACAGTATGTGTGTGAAGTCTTCGTTTAGACGGTGATCATTTTCTATAACTTACAAGACTGAGGTGAGTCAGTGAAGATCACTATACTCTGTGTTTTGTTTGGATGAGTGTCAAAAACTGTGCGGAGATGGTATAGTGCTGTTTCAATTGCTATCATTTCTGCGTCGTAGTTGTTGCATGTCTCTCCACAGGCTGCAGAGATCTCATTGGAACTTCCATCTGGGTATTGTATTAGTATTCCATATCCGGCTTTGGTTGTGCCTTTGAATGCTGAGCCGTCTGTATAGACGTGTATCCAGTCATCTGAATAGCTGTCGATTGTTTGATGTGATGCAAGCATCAACTTCACTGGGTCTGAAGATTTTGTGCTATTGTCTCTGAGAGAAGTTTTAATGATTGGTTTTTCCATAGAAATGTGGGGAGGGATGTTTTGGTTGACTCTTTTGGTTTCTCTTCTGTTTTGTGGTAGATGGTGGCTCTCCATTAGTTCTGTGATACGATGCATGACTGATTTTTGTTGAAGTCGTTTCTTTGGTTTCCATGTTTCTACTAATTTCCTGTTTGGGTGGTTGGGGCACATTCTTTTGGTTCTTTCATGAAGCTCCAAAACTGCTTTATCTCTGCGTATTCCCAGGGGTTCAACATTTGATAGAATTTCATATGCGGCAGTAGGTGTAGATCTCATGCCACCATTTATGAAACGAAAGGCATTATTTTGGACCTTGTCAAGGGTATTGCAAGTAGTTGCACTACACATAGTGAGTAGGCTATTGCTGTATTCCAGGGAAGATCGGACATAACCAAGGTATAGAGCTCTCAGAGTTTGTTTGTCTGATCCCCATGAACTGCTCGCGAGTTTCTTTAAAAGTTGGAGTCTTCTTTTCGCCTTGTTCTTTATGCTCTCCACTTGGCTTTTCATTGTTAGAACAGTATAAGTATAAACTTAAAGATTTCTAACTCACCCACCCACACATCTGCTTGTCTTTAAAAAACCCAAAACAACTCAACTTGCTGACTTTTAGGCCACACCATCCAGCAAAGAATGGGACACACAAGAAATTTTCCTTTCATCAAAACAAACTAGCAATACTAACCACTACGACTGATTTTGAAGCATCCAAGACATGAACCACTGGAGCAGAATGCCGAGGGGCAATCTTCACAGCTGTGTGCTGCCTGAGGAAATGATGAAAAAATGTGTTACTACAAAAGATCTTAAGTTGATCATCTTTTATACAAAATAAAAAAAATTTGTGATGTCACATTTTGATATTTAGAGAAATTGAAAACTTCAGTTTCAGACTCACTGAGCTGTCTACTGTATCACATCATTATTTATTCCTTTACCTCAACATTTTCAACCATAGCAGTGTTCAATACTTTTAATACTTTTAACAATATCAATACCAAAATTATATGTATCTGAAATGGGCATCATGAGCCCTTCATTTAGGGTTTTTTTTTTTACATTTTAAAAAGTGTCACCTCACCAAGACCAAACAAAGCTTACTAAAAACACTGAATTACACATACAAATAAAATATCCCCTACATAAGAGAAATGAAAACATGACCTCAAAAAAAAAAAAATCTCAAATATCATAGCCCTCAGCAAAACTTACTTTGATGTTGTGGCTCCTCCAATCAAGACGGGAAGTTTCATGCCAATACGGTTCATTTCTTTGACATTGTAGATCATCTCATCCAAGGAAGGAGTGATCAAACCAGACATACCAATGAAATCTGGGGGCGGAACAAGACGAGACAAACAAATGTAAAATCCTTTCAAAGACAATATAATTTATATTTTCATGTGTAAAGAACATAGATTTGTCACTGACCAGCAAGTATATTGAAAAATATGTTTTTTTTTCAGAACCAGGGTATATTGCTGAGGTTCACTTCATCTCTTAAGCACACATACCTGCTTTCTCCTTGATGGCTGACTCAATGATCTTTTCGCAAGAAGTCATCACACCAAGATCAATAACCCTGAAGAAATCAATGAAGATTCATACATCAAGGAATGGTTTAAGAATAAAGTGTTTGAGCGAGAAAAAAACTTTATTTCTTGAAAATATGTGAAAAGTTACCAAAATATTTACAATGTTCCCTGAAAAAGAAGCTCCTTCTGGGAATCTACCTTTCCTTTCATTGAGACTTTAGTAACTTAATTACTGAACTTTGTCCCCATTCACAGCACTCTACCATTAATGACAGTTTGCACATACATAAAGCAATATTTTTCTGAAACTACATTCATTTTTCGTTTTAACTTTTGTTTTGGGAATTTGTTTAGTATTTTTAAAATGTGTTTTTTAAAGGCTTGTATTCACGGGAGGTGGGTTCCTTCCCCTTGCTTTGGATCTAACAATGGACTTCAAGTCCAGAGTGTTAAAAACGTTAACGGATTTGGTTTTCAAATATCCGAGAACTTTTTACTGTGCACTTCAAAATAAGGCAGCTGTTCTTTTCTTCTGGAATACTGTCAGCCTCAGGGCAGGTCAAGGGGTTAATAGTACAGGTGATTTATCCCCAAAGACCATCGTAATGTATCATGTTGCGTAGTCGCTGGTTTTTACACATGCAGGCCTACTTGCTGGCCCATGTCTAAAAAACCGGCAGACCTAGGTCTGTTGAGGGTAAAAAAACGGCGGGGCTGGCATATGCCGGCGAACTTTCACCCATGGTTTAGCCCATATTATCATACCGGGTCAACATACATAAGATCTGTAAATGGTATGTCAGTAACTGGACCAGTAGTCACTAATGTGACACTAGCTATAAATGACGAATCATCTTAACTCCACGGTCTCACTTACTTAAAGTTGTTACATCCCAACACCACACCCACAATGTTTTTGCCAATGTCGTGAACGTCTCCCTTGACGGTGGCCAGTACAACTGTGCCTTGGTAGCTGGGTTCCTATAGTGTCAGAGCATCAGGGATAAAAGTTGAAAAAAAAGTATGAATGTCAATCATTTATTGAAGAAAAACAGCCCCCCCCCAACAACTGAAAAATTATACTTTGTCAGAGAGCAAGAGATAAAGTAAAATTATGACTGACAATGATTTAAACACCAGAGTAGGACAACGACAAAGGCAAAGATATTCAAGAGAGTGTAGAAGAATCAGCAAATCTTGTGTTTGGTCCTTGAACTGAATTACTGCAGATGTCTTTAGAGTAAATATGACAGAAGAGTCAGGAATAAATTACAAGTAAGTTCTTGTTTGAATGTTTGATAGGAATGGTGTATGCGTGCGTGTGTGTGTGTGTGTGTGTGTGAGTGTGTGTGCGTGTGTGTGTGTGTGTGTGTGTGTGTGTGTGTG